CAGCTTGATTAATGTTTTAAAGAGTTGGAAAATTTACTGAATTTTTTGAACTTGAAAAGTTCTGTTGATATACTTTAATAAACGGTTGAAAAATTTTTGTTTTTTATTTTTACTTTTCTATTACCACAACTGACGAAGGTTGTTGCCATGTTACGGTATCTTTTTTTCGATATTTTCCATTTTGATTTCAACAGATACCTTTGCATTATCCATTCGCTAAACACTTTTAGTAAGCGGGACATACAGTCGCCTTAACCGTTGACTAGTACCAAATGCGAACAATAGCGTCGCAGTTCTCCTCAGATTCGAATCTGCAGGTCGTTCTTGCAGATTCTTTTTTTTCTTCTCTGCATAAGTACTGAACAATCAGCTGTACTTTTTGATTGCCGTTATTTGATTAATACGATGAAACATTTTGAATTTAGAAGTGAGAGAGGTGAGAAGAAGGAACAAACAATTGGGGAACAAAGTTTCAGCTTGTTTATTGTATGCACTAAAGAATCATTGCAGAGTGCAATGCGTAGTTTTGTTGTGCATACCGAAATGCTGCGAAAATTAAATACTGGAAATATTTTTTTTCTTACGTCTTTACGTTTCTCTGATGACTAATTCTGCAGTTTTTTTTTTTTCTATTGCACATAACTTTGCTTTAATGTATGAACGAGGCAAATAACTATTGAATACGAAAACGATGAGAACTTTAGAAACATTGAAGAGTTCTTTTTGTTTGATTTATTAAATTTCTGCCGTTGTTGTTGTTGCGAAGGTTACAGCAAAAATGACCTAATCTGTACTGGAATGAATCTATTAATTTTAGGTACCATCGCAATGCCATTACAAGGAAAAATTGCTCTTGTTACTGGAGCATCAAGAGGTATATTTGTCATAAATTTTTTAAGCTTGTTTACTGTATGCACCACATAATTATTGCAGATTGCAGTATTTATCTGTTTATCAAATTACTGATGTATACTGATCTGTTACTTTTTTTTAGGAATAGGTCGAGGTATAGCACTTCAGCTGGGAGAAGCTGGAGCTACAGTCTATATTACTGGTAGGCCTCCAAAGTTGTCACTGCAGTCTAAACAAGAAGACCTCCCAACATTAGAAAAAACAGCAGAAGGTAATGTTCATATTAGAAAAATAGCTGTTTAGGAGTACAAAAACCAACAGATCGCATTCTTCACCAGTGACAGGTGTCTTTTAAATAAGGTTATTTCTTTGGAGTTTTAAACACAAAATTTTGAAGAAACTGTAGAGCTGTTACTTTTGTTTTGTTTGATGCAGTGACTTTCTTTAAACTATTTTACATTGTAAAGTTACTCGTTGCTCAGTGATGCTAGGAGAAGTGATGAGCTTAAACATGCATTCTTTACCATATAACTCTGCTCTAGAAGGTTAGATTTAAGCTTTGAATAGCTTCTCGTACATTACACATTTCTTCCAGAGCTTCTAATGCAGTAATGAATGATCTTGATGTTATTCTAAGTTATTATTGCCTTTTTCAAAATCTTTTTGACCTTTTGAACTGCTTTTTGTAGATAGGTATTGCAAAGGTAAAAAAAAAAAACAATGATGAAGTTAGCAGTGAAAAGTGAGAGGAATCGCTAAAAGATTTTAGTACTGATGGGCAAGAGTTTGATGCTATATTTACAATGAAGAAAGTAGATAAGACTCAGAGTATCTTCTTCTATAATAGTGAGCTGTCTTGACAAGTATTTCAAACTTTAAGTTACGGTTGCTATTCCATCTTGTCTCATATTCCTGGGCAACGGTTTTTACTTCGGTTTTAAACAATGTAAATAATATTTTTTGAAGAAATTAACAAACGTGGAGGGAAGGGCATTGCTGTGTACTGTGATCATTCTAAGATGGATGAAGTGGAAAAACTCTTCCAGAAAATCAGTGCAGAAACAGACGGAAGTCTTGATATTCTGGTCAATAATGCATTCAGTGCAGTAACGGTTAGTATTATTTTTGTGCTGTTAAACGTCGGTTATAGGCAAATGTTGTGGTTGTTCTTTTACTGCTTGTTGTATTTGTCCCAAATCCTTGGCGACTGCAGGTTGCAGAGTTCTAGTTAATTAAGTCTAGAGAACTTGAAAAAATTGCATTTAAAGGGGATGACGAATTTATTTCAATCGCACTTTTTATCATTTAGGATCATGGGTTGCGGAGACTGTTGACTCGAACAACAGTCGTCTAGCAGCACTTCCAAGTGCTCTTAAGACATAGCAAATATCATATTTAACTCGTTTCTTTGCAAACTCAAATTTTTCTAGTACATGTTTAGAAATTTCTGCATAACTAGTATCAGCATTTTGCTTTTTTTGATATCTTCTTTTTGAACTACAGTGTTTTCATAAAACTTTTTCTTCCCCGAAAGAAAATAAGATATTCCCATTAATGGTATATGAATATAAATGTGCATATAAATAGAACAACAGATACAGATATAAAGATAGATATAAATATGGGTATAAATATAAACATGAATATAAATATAAATATAAATATA